TTTTTTTTTTTTTTTTTTATACCAATAAAAGTCCTGCATTGCTGTAATCAAAAATACACTACAGATATCTGAAAATATTTGTATGCATGTAATACTGCTCTAATTATTTTCCTAATACTAATAATTTTCTAGCTGAAATTTAACATATGTTTTAATCTTTAAATTAAAGTTGGAAAAAAACACAACAACACAAGTATCAATCAATAAGTTTATCTTACAAATATAGTAAATTAATTACTCATTATTTTTTTCAGTGAATTAATTAATCATATGAAAAAGTAATTTAAATATAAACTGAAAGTTTTCTGTGTTCAACAACTTCAGAAAAGCTATTCTTTACTAGCATTTAAATTCACTAAATAAAAAAACCAAAAATGATGGTAAAGAAAACTTCGTGGTAATCTGAAGATGCAGATAAGAAAATCTAGAAGTTTTAATGGAGGAATACAAAACGGCAAATATATAAGGAAATAAATGATACTGTAGGTGAATCTTTTCACTACATTCATATTACTAGTAAAGAACGTTTATCAATCAGAGAGTGTTATTTGATGCATGTGTAACGAAAGGAAATTTATCGAGACAGCTGTTGCTTCAAGTTTCAGTTCAAGTGCAGCTGTTCGAACAACCACGAGCAATCAAATCTTAAGATATGTAGCAACTCTTTAACTCACTTGCGCGCGTTGTCTAATTATATTCAATTATACTGGAGAAGACATATCTGAATATGATATTATTTTACTTGCAGTTTTTGTAATTCGTTGTAAGTGAAAAAATATTACCGGATATGGGCTATATTTTCCAAGCTCCCTGGCATCAGTGGAATTAATTTTCCTACTGAAAGAAAGGAGCATACAAATCGAATTCTATACTTTTAGCAAGCTTTGGTATTTTCTGTTTTGTGGACAGATTTTTCCATAGTAATTTTGAACAAGTCATTTATCAAAATATTTCCTCAATATTATTTGTATAAATTACTGCACTTCTTCACTGATCTGATTCTCATGGTGGTTTTGTAGAAACTTACAATTATGCTTATTCCATGGCTATCACTAATTACTCTCTTCGAACTATTTGATTGTTTCCACGTTCTGTATGGACGAACTATATACCCAGTAGAATTACGAGCAACCAAAGGCGAATTCCTTATCTACACTCTTCATTCCGGTTATTTTTTCTCTCATGCAGGTCAGCTTTTTTCCTGTGCTGTCAAATAGTTCGAAGTGAGTAATTAGTTATTGATTAAAGACTTTATATTAGTGATAGAAGTAAGTGTACGTTACGAAAACATATCTCACAATGCTCCAAGTTTCAATAATTTAAGCAAAAATTGTAAAGTAGTGGATCAAAGTTTTCTGCAAATATTAACGAATAATTTGGATGTTCCAAAAGACAATTGTAAGTGAATTAACATAAAACACTAAATGCTTCTCAAATACAAATACGTTACGTTGCGTTATTTCAGGTTTCAAGCTTAGAACAAGTGTATTTTTAACTATTCCCATTAACTTCTACTTTTTTATGATATTATTCAATAACAAAAGTTTAGCCTGATTTTTATAACTAGTGAAATGTGCTCATCAGGTAATATAGTTAATGTATTTGCAGTTGATGTTAAGTGGTCAGCATCTTTACGCGATCGTCCCGCACTACCATTATGGTTGCATTTAATGCCCTCTAGGCATAAACCTCTTGGGTACCTATACGGCACTCCAATCCTACCTTCAAATCAAGTTGTCTTACATGTCATTGCTCGAAGACTGGATAATTACGAAAAAGCGGAACAGTACATAACAATATTATTAAACGATAATGGTTTGTAAGATTTATGCGAATACAAACATCGCATACTATTTCTCAGCTGACATATTCTTCTTTTTCTAGAAAATTACAACAAGACAACACAACAGTTTGCTGAAATTTATATAAAAAATTATGATGCTGAAGAACTGCTAACCGATCGTACGCAAATTATTGACCGACTAAAGCAATCGCTTAAAGATTCGTTCAGAGGAAAAGGACTGAACCCGTACATATATCAAATTTTACCTGCTGGAAATCCATCAGGGGAGAATGAACCATACGATCCTATTCAAAAAATTGGGTAGGCGGAAAAAATATGACAATATATCGCTCTGCAGTAAAAGGAACTTGTCATATTTTGTAGCAAAACAGTAAAAACATTTCTGACTAAATAAACATCAACGGTATAAAAATCCTGTGTATCTTTACATTGGGAATGACTATTTATAGCGTTGATAAACCGCTCATTTCCAAGAAAATTTCCAGAAGTATAGTTCGAGTTGGTACACAAAGTCATTTTCACTCTAACGTTCTGAATTTGGAACGCGGTTTGCAACGGAATCCACAATATTGCAACCGAGATGTACTAGTACCGTTAAACAAATTCTTCGCTCCAGTTTTTAAAGTTGACTGGTGCAATTTTCGTGTGGTAAATTTTTTAAGTCCGTAGCAATAATTTCAGCATTTTTTTCCGATTCTTATCAAAACTTTGCAGTTTTAAAAGTAATGACCTAGCAGAAACTAATTACAGTTGTAAATGCGTATGACGCGTCACTGCTCTTTAAACTTCTTTACAGTTTCACAGAGTTAGCTGAATTAAAAAAAGATATATAAATCAAGATATTATACAATGCTTTTACTCGCTAAATAACATAGATGAGACTCAAGAAATCTTAATTTTGCCAACTTTTCTAGAAGAACATAACAACATCTACCATTCACGATAAGTGGTTAAACCAAGAAGCCATCAAAATAATCAGAACTGATGCTGATGCTATGCACATCCCTTATAGTCAATACGATGAACTCACGCGACCTTTACTAACTGCGGAAACTCCATTGATGCACACTCGATATTACTTCTGGGAATCCTTTCTCGTAAGTTTTAAAAAAAGATTAGTGGAGAATGAGAGCGGAAAGTCATTTTAGACCATCATATTCATTCAGATGTTCCCGATGTTGGGCGTATGCAGCATCCTTCTAATTATCCTTCTTAGTCTTATTTTCTTCGGTCGACGAGAAGGACAACACTGGAGAGATTACAAAACACCCAAGTACATTTTTTACTTGTTCATATGTAAAAATTGAAATATCTGATCCCAAACTACTTTAACCTCATTATGACTATTATAAAGACGTCAGCTGGAAGAGTATGCTAGCGTAAGAGATAGCCAACGACATTTGCGTGAACTTTCGATGCAACGCCAAATGCTCTTAATGGTAACCGATAGAACACGATCACGCACTCTTCTGGGTTCGTTCTCTATGAAATTTTCATACGAAGTATTAACCTGAGTATGTCAGAAAAAACCAAAAAAAATTTCAGGAATTCAATCATTTCTTCAACCCAAGTCAAGTCAGAATCCTTCTCATGAAACTCTTCAAGGTGATCATCAATCAAGTCGTAGTTCTCGATCTCCCTTACTGAAGAAATCACGCGGTAACTAGTGTATGTACAAATACCGCCAAGTCTAGCAAAAACAGCTTTGTTCACAATCCAGAAGTTAGCTGTTCATAGAAAAAAAGAACACAGCACATACCAAATCACCTAATGACAAATTTCAGATGCTATTCCAGACAAGATTCCTGAGGATCATGTAATACCACTCAGCAAACAAACAGTTGCGGAAGCAGCTAAAGCTTGTGGTTCCTCATTATATTTGTATCGGAATCCATTTGAGATTGACAACACTGATGAAAATTCCGCAGACGACGATGATTTTGCTGCTCCTTCTAATGATAATGATAACGATGACAATTGTGGTGACAATCAGGAGGGCGAAAGTAATACAAAGTGTGGCAATGACTACAACACTTCCTAATTTTTCTTTCATCGCTGTTTACAAAATTAGCAAATACTGTTTGTATAATTAACACGTTCCAACAGTACTTTTGCTCTGCCTTCTGAATTAGACCAAAGAAAATTTTTCATTAACATTACCAGCTGTATTCCACCCATTTTTATTGTTCATTTCCCAGAAGACTTTGAAGTACTATATTTCTATAGTGCACTTCTTTTGCCTTTAGTCAAAAACTTAGCTTTTACAAGCTAAAATTTGTTTGAATTCCACTGCATCTTATTTCATTGCACATAATTACTATACCTCATCTTCTGGGTCCAAAAAAGCGTCTCTAGTACATGCTTGGATATTTTTGTGAAGAAAAACTAGAGCAGATAAGCAAGATTCTAAACGATTAGACACTCTACCTGAAAGATTTACAAAGCATTAGTAATTAGGAATTCAAATAAAGTCAATCTATCTGAATAATAAAAATTTTATTACCAAATTTCTCTTGTCTACAGAAAAATGAATATTGCATTCTGAACCAAAAAGAAGTAATCAAAAAGAAAGAAGCTTACACCAACGAGGTTTTATGTGCGCTTTTCTAATCTCATTTTGAAGATACAAAAGCAACACTAGCAAATAAAGGATTAGTTTATGCGAGAGAGACGGAATATTGTAAGCAGCAAATGACAAGTAACTACTGTGTTTCAACCAAGATTCATTTATTTAAATGAAACATTCAACCTTCCGAATCATAGACATTTAATGCAGCGTGCACAGTAATGGAGATATGGCATCTCAGATCTAATAACTGCTTGTAAACATGACACAAACCAGCTATTACTATCACTGCCAAAAAATATGATCATTATAAATTGTAAAACACTGCAAAATAATGAAAGGCATTAACGATGAAAACTATGAATCAGTGAAAGATTTGAAGTGAAAGAATACTAACAGTAAAAGTAGACACTAATGAAAGTCAAAGAGTTTTTTTTTGTACACAAATTTACTACATTTACTAAATATCTCTGCACGATTCCTCAACTAGACTGAGAGTTAATACTCAGCAGTGTTAAGTAAATTAATAATAACAGTTTACAGTTAATTTTCATCTCTCTAGACCATCAAAGCCATCTTCATGGGCCAAAGGTGCTGACATAATTTTCTTGCATCGTACACAGCATGTCTCCAGCATCTAAGCCTTTTCAGTCATTTCCTTACGCAGCTCATCAACCTGTGAAAATGTTCATATTAAAAAAAAAAGAGGAATATATTTGCATGCACTATGACTTGAATAAAAAAACTATCACCAAATATCACGCTTACATATAACTGCATAGCTTCGGTTCGTTCACAGACATATGAGTCTGATGCATTTCTTAAATAATGTTGAAAATGCTGGTGACTACATTAAGGTCTATTGAATTATCCTGAAATAAGTAGAACCATTCTACAATAGATTGACAATATAAAAGAACAGTAAAGAATACAAATTACTAACAATCTCATCAGCAATACTTTCTTTTCCAGTGTCCGAATTTCTTCCAAAGTAATCCCATCAACTACTTACTCAATCTCGAGATATAACCTTTGTGTCTCGAAATTGCCAACAATTCACTGGAAAACACAAGCTGTTTTGAGCAATTTTTACAAAAAGAATATTATGATTTTGCTTTTGTAAGTAAGCGCTTCATTTTGATTTGTTTCCATCTTATGAGGTACAAAAGTACTGTAAACTGACTTGCATGACAGATAACAAGGTTTCTTCGTGGAAAGGAAATAGAAATGCTTGGAAAACCCCAAAATGTTTAACATTACTAGTATATTTGGATAGTATGCTGCCAGCATATTATTTATGACTCTCTGTTTTGTCACAGACATCACAAGAAGTTACTTTTCATGAAGTAACAAATAAGAACTACACATCACAAGCTGACAACACTTGACATGGCCTTGTTCTTGAACGTCAACATTATTAGTATCATCACTAGAAGTCATATTTAAGAGTGATCTTACTGCATCCTTTTTTTCAGCACCTGAACAAAGTACACAAAATATAATTATGAGGCTGAGAAAAGTTCAATACAAATTTCAGAATGCCACAAGTGGATTCCAATCTATGTAACCAACTTCTTCAGAAGAGAGCATTTATTGAAAATAACGAGTGAAAGATATTTTGCTGAGAACAAATCTCTCAGAAGTTATGGAAATCTTCAAAAATTACGCACTTTGCTTCGTATAATACACTGATCTAAAAAGTCAATAAAACTGAAAATGTAAAGGCATCTCTGAAATTAAGATTGAATTGGTCAAGTAATAATGAAGTAATAACTGGAATTAACTTTTAAAATTTAATACTTTTGCGGGAAATCTACTCACCTGATATTCAGGCATATCTATTTTCTTGAGTTAAACAACTGATCAATCAGTTTACAGTTCGATCAATATTATAGTCGAATAACGACATAATTCGCCGGTAACTGTCTGCATAATGCAGGGGGACTTGTTGCTTACAATACTAGCTGCACATGCGTCACCTGTAAAGTTCCAACGACATTAGTGCAATACACCGATCACAGATTTGTATATCTATCCGTGATTGATATATTGAATTGATTTGTTCTACACCAACAGTTAGTTTTTAAGGACATCAAATGAAGGAAAAATATACTCAAAGTATTATTAAGGTGTAACTGGAATACTTAGATATGTTGTAACTCAAAAAAAAAAAAAATTAGATATTCTATGTTATAACAATGAAAGATGAAAAGCTCTGCTTGAGAATTATAAAGCACTGAGCTTTGACAGCGGTAAAAGGACGAGCACTGTTTGTGGCGTGATAAATATTGCACGAAAGACATATGAATAAAACTTTGGATGAGTAGCTCTTCGAGTAGTTCCTTGTATATTATGCAAAAATAGTGAAGCAGCTTTATCTCTACATATATTAGCAAGAACTAGTGAAAAAAACACACAACACAAGAGATTCTAAGGTTTTAAAAACAAGAAAGCTATTCACAAACTAATGTGAAGAAAAAAGCCTACATGTGCACAAACCTGCCACACTGTCAAACGTTAGGAAGCGGTTCACGGAAGTCACGGAATGTATTTCCGTTTGATCACTTAGGAAAGAAATTTGTTAAAACAGCCACACCGCTTAAACCATTTCTAAAAACAGAGAAATATGTTATAAGAAATTCCATGAAATATTTTTTATAATCTGTTTGCGTCATTTTAATGAAGTAAGTGTTGAAGATTCCTCAATTATTTGCCATAATATTAGCAACCACTTGTACTTATAATATTTCTGAGCATGTGTGATGCAGAAATGCAGTCCTGAAGTGAAACAAATATCAGATAACGACAACGTGGGATAAAAAGTTAAGCATATGCTGCTATTTTCTGTTAGGGATAGAAAGTTGCGGAAATATGAAAAAGATACAATGATTTATTTGAACTATAAATAGCTTTAACAACATTCCTAAAAAATTTTAATGAAAAACTCGTAAATCAAATATTTTCCCTTCACTTTGAGCAGATTGTGCGTAATCAAAAAGTCAAATTAAGACTTGTAATAAAGTTTTACAGTTGTATCTAATATTTACTTCATATTTACAGTTTTTGAGTTGAGTAAGCGTTAAAGAAACATGTGTAGACTTACTACTAATCAACTTCCGAGTTAATTTCACGCGCCATATTGCATCTACCTTTACTACGAGAAAATTGCAAACACTGCAAATCAATATAATTTGAATGAAAGAGAAGTAACATCACGAATGAGTGCTTTAAAGTGTCAAAGATCCGAATGATGAATTTCTCATGGCTTTCTTTGTAAGAAGTTAAAATTATTTCTAAATCAATTTGCGCTTAATAAAGGCATAAATTCAGAAAAAATAGCACGAAAATTCATCCATATGACTGAGCAGACTATCATTCCTTACTGCAAAGACTTTTTTACCAACTTCAAACTTATTCCAAATTATAATATCTATCCAAATTAGAAGTTCAAATGAAAAGTAAATGTAGTGAAATGACCTCAATAGTACATCAGTCTAATGTGGAAGAGAAAAATGTTTGAAAATTGCTTCAACACTGAGTACTATGAAATTTTTAAGGATCAGAGAAATGAGTGTAATAATACAAGCTCATTAGTAATAATATTCTGAACATAAAAATTCACTCATTTTGTGTTATTTTATCTGTGTATTTTTCTTGTTCAACAATACAACATGCTATTGCAAAATGGTAATGTGTTAAGAAGATAGGATATATGATAAAAAAAGATATAATGGTGCTATACTTTCATTATCATCATTGCTTTTAACATATATCATTTAATGAATAACTCACTGATTATTAGAGTAGCTCTGAGTAACTAACAACTTGTAAGTAATAGCCTTAATGAAGTAATAGCCTAATACGTAGCACGTAAGAAAACGTGAATCTTATTACATATATATAAGATATGTAAGAAAAGATGCAAAATGTCCTGAAGTGCAGCAGGAAAATAAGCAAATACACTAAGAGGTCATTGATTTGCTACAACTTATATAGCAAACAATCATCATCACAAAATGCAAAATTTATGAAAGTATAGAAAAGAATCATCGCGCCTCTAGCAAACACACTATATCACACTCACACATATCTTTGTCAGATGAAATGGATCGGAACTGATGGACAGCTTTTTTACTCTTCACTCTGTAATGCATTACTGCAGTAATGCGTGGAAAATTTACATGGTAAAAGTAAATGCATGAAGGAAAGAAGAAGAAAACAAATAAGAAATGAGTAAAAAAGTCAAAGAACTTTTGAAGAAGAAAGAAAGAATATGAAAAGAGAATGAAATGCAAAGAGAATAAAAGAAATAATAAAGGGGAGTGTTTGGTTTAAAGTGCGAGAAAGGCAGGCGATAAGATTGAGGATGGTGTGAGCTGGGTTGCAGTGCGCGTGGCTGTGCCTACTGGCTGCATGGAGATCGAGAATATCGTAGCTAACACCGTTTACATCAAAGCACGAGAGAGTAAGCTAATTTTTAGCTTTATATAATTTTATAGTTAGTTACAAATAGTTGTTATCAATGATAATATATCACTTTGATAACTTTCACTTCTCACTTTAATTACTTTTATTCTTTCATTACAATCATTTTAGCTATTTTTTTATGTGTTTAAAATCCAGTACAATTGCTTATCTCACCTTAACACTTATCACACTACCTTAACACAAATCTTAACTAAAAAAATGCTTCTATTTGAGAATTTTTGTACATTCTATCGCCGCCTATTTTGCTTGTTTGTGAGTGGGACGGTATGCTATGCTACATCCCTCTTTTACATTTTCCTCATTTATTAACGTTTTGCTTTTTCAACAAGTAATGATGACGGTACGGTTAGATTGATGTGTTTTTTGTTCATTTACTGAAATTAAAATAATATGCAAGTCTTTGCAGTTGAAGAAAGTAAAGTTAGTTGCTATACTTTTTCCGTAAAAGATCTCTTCCTAATAATATGTGCAAGCAGTTGCCACACTTTCTTAAATATTATTCCAATAACAAAAAAATACATTTTTTATGCACAGTTTTTTCATTCTATTACACACTTATTATTAGCATTTGCCATTTATGTGATTGTTATGTCGAAAATTTTTATAATTTTGTTTCTCATGAGATTTAAGCTTATTAACAATTTTCACTATTGATTAGACTCCTCATTCGTTATTGAAAGTTCTAGTAAATGGCAAGCAACTCATCGTGGCTGAGTTTAAATTTAATTTTGCTTTCAAAGCCTTGACACTTTGTAAGTTGTCATTTTCTGAAAGCCTTGCTTTTTCATTAATATTTAATATTTGGAAGAAATAAATTCATAATCTTACTGGTCACTTTTTCCTTTAAACAAAGTATAATCACAGAAATCACTTTATGGGGCTGGAGACTGCGACAAATCGCTATAAACCTCGAGTCGATTTCTAGCCCTGCTGAAACATTTTAGATTATCTGTTTGGGACTAGTAAGATTCTATTATTAAAAAGTAATTGGCTAGCATATAAAGGCGAAAAAGTCACATTTTATATTTGTTAGAATAGTAGTAAGTTCGATATCTCTCTGATTCTAGTCATTTCAATATTGCATACGAAAAGGAAGATTCTGAAGAGACAAAAAATTGTAGTCATTTTACTGTTTCATAAATGAATCGCCGATAACATTGATAATAAGGAGATTTCCCCAAAGTTCACAATAATTTTTTTTTCTAAGAAATGTAAAGTCAGAAAGGATTACTTGTATATATCCTTAATTCTATGAGTTAAAAAAATGTGTGAATCGGAAGGAATAGAGAATAGCAAATTGCTGTTGAAAGTGACAAAGCATTTGCTCACGTATGTTAGTACAGTGGACAACGCTGAATTGTCATATATTGCTGAAACTGAGTTTGGCTGCTCTTTTAGCAAATATTAAATAAAAAACTTTAAGTTGCCGAGGCTAGCAACTAGAGATTAGATGGCGAATGATTGCTTCTTCAAGATATCTTCAGAATATTGATTGACCCAAATGAAGAGTAACGTTTTCTAAATTTGTTTCCATGATGGAAAATTCCCTTTCATTTTTATTTTAAGAAAAAAGATATTTTAAGCTTGGCTACATAATGCATTTCTTCAAAAGTGCCACTTTGGTTCATTAAAATTGAGGGAAGGTTACTCTCCTCATATGACTCGTACTGGCCAGATTCAGTTTGTAGTTTGAAGATTTTGCTAGGAAAACATTGGAAAGCTAGAGAATAGTTGGTATTTTCGTTTGCTGATGAATATTTTCATGAGAAAAAAGTAAAAGTATTGACTTTGAGGCAGTTGGATGAATACTTCGTTAATAACAATTAGGTGCTGTTAACGACTGGGCACGAGGTTTCACATTCAATTCAAAATAATACGTTCTCTAAGCAAAAAGTGAGAAGATAAAGCATTGAGTACATCACATTTATCTTAGATGCAAATAAAAAGGATTATTATTCATGAATTACTCCTACGATTGGATCAAATAAATAATGATTTTGCTTACAATTTCTGTTCAAAGTTGTTCAAGTCTATATAGTTTATATAATATATAAGGTTCTTTATGAGCGGAATTGTACAATATGTACTGCAAACTTTATGGTCCGGATTCAGTGCTAATTAATGCAAAGCTCATCAATTAATTATGAGTTATGTGCTATGTTCTTTCAATGCACATCATAAGCTGTAGGCATATTAAAAATGATTTTAGTACTGTATTGTTATTTCAGTAATTTGTCATTTTTCTAGGAGGTGGCCAGAAGAAAGGGAAGAGTAAAAAATGGAAGAGCTATTTGCAGTTTCCGCACTATACGGAATGTTTATATCTGAGGTCGGAGATTGATGTCAGGTAATTGTAGCACTTCGTCTCTTAATGTGTTGTCTTTGAATCGCTTCAAGTTAAACTTCATGAAAACTCAGTTTTGTATTTTTCAGAAGTTATTGCTGTTTGATGTTGTTTTATGCTTAATTTATTGCTGTTCTACTTTAGTTGTCATAGAGATATTAGTTGCTTCTGAAATTACAAATTCTTATGGCTGCTTACGTTTATTTCATCTTAATTTCATTTATAAAAGCAAATGATAATTTTATTTGCTAAACGCCATCTGCCATTTCTACCATTGTTTATGACAATGTGATACTGTTGTGTATTCAGCTCTGATAATAACTATATGCATGAGAGCTCATATACTTCAAATTTATGAGCATTAGCAAGGACGCTAATTCATAGCAGAAATAACTGCATATTGACATTATTATGTCACATGTTTTCTGTTTGCATCAATAAACATTTATGCGAAATTTTTTAACCTTGAGATTTGACATCGGTGTGTTACAGTATTACGGGAAAGTGTTTTTGTTTTTTGTAATTTTTTCTTGTAAATGTGTATTTAAATTTTGCTATTTGTTTATAATGCTTCACAATTCATACTTACCAACATCAGTTGATAAACTGACGTTAAAACACAGAATCACAGGAAAGGATATTGAATATCATTTGATAGAATTAGAAAGCTTGCTATGTTTTAAGTTTGTTATTGCGTGACGCATAAAGACTTTGGATTCATTTTTAAAAGGAAATAAAAACTATTTCGTTAATAAAGGCAGTAACTGAAATTTAACTCTAGTGAATTGGTTCAGTTTTTATGAATAGCTTATGTAAGTGTAATTTTAAAAAAAAATTTCCCTCATTAAAAACTTACATCTTTTAATATGAATAAAAAACATAGGAAATACAATTAAGGGAGACTGCACATATTTTAAGACAAACAGTGTAAAAAGCTAAAAGAGAAGTCACTTCTCTGTGACTGTGGAGAAGAAAAGAACAATATAAAGCTGATTTCACCTAAAACTGATGGGAAGATTTATTTGTAGATAGTAGAAAGATTATACTGAACAAGACAAACAAATATGATGGCATAAATTTGGTATTTAATTGGAATTCTACAATTACAGCTATGTTTACGTTGTGGAAAGGCAGCCAATTGGTAAGTTACTTTTCGAGCAATTCTGCAGTACAGATGCACGCAAGTCAGTGGCATGGAAATTCTTGTGTAAAATTGAAGAATACGAGACATCTGATGACGACGGAGAAAGTCGCCGATCACTTGCCAAATTGATTGCGTCTCTCCTATCGTCTGATAATGATGCGCCCTGTGTATGTTATAGACATTTTACCTTCGGTGTACCTAATTGCATTATATAAATCAAAATACATACGGATTGCTTTTAGATTTATTACGAGGATATAGCATTTACATAGTTCAGTTATGATATTCCATATACTTATCTCATTCGGTACCGATTGTTTTCAATATGATCTTTGAAAAAGATCAAAAGATTTCGATTTTTTAGAATTCATCAGAAGTATCTTATAATGCATATTTTACTCCATTAACAATTTCTTTGTGTTTGTAGTCATCTCACGATTCACTATGGTGTAGTTTTCTACCAGACGAGCTTATACAAAAATTTACTTCTACTGCCAATGATGCATCACATGAATCTGAACCATCCAGTGACATATTTTTCGAAGCTTATAAGTAAAGTTCTTTTCTATTTTTTAGCCATTGAAGAAATAAAATACTAACACAACCCTAGTGTGCTTTCCGATTTTTTAACTATCAAAATTATATATGTATTTAACTATCAAAATTATAATAATGTCTCACATTACAACAATGTGCTTAATATTTTGTTGCCTTTCCCGTCAGTTTGGAATCAGCAAGTTGTGAATCAAAAACATTAGTTCATCTTTAACTTTTACCA